CTACGGCTACGGCTACGACTACGACAACAATTACTACCGCGACGCGACGGAGACGACTGCTAGAACTACGACTACGACGACGACAGCTTCAGCTACTACTGCTCGGGCTACTGCTTGCACTACTCCTATCGTGACGGCGACTGTGACTGCGACTGCGACTACTACTGCCTTCGTGACCACGGCGACGGCTGCTACCACTGCTACTACTTCTGCTAGTGAATATAATGTTGGTGCTACCAGTTATGTGGAAAACAACAACCAGAGAAAATCATGACAACGACAAGGGAGATCATGGTAGTTTTGATGATGAGCACGGCAGCGGCTGTAGCAGCATGATGCGAGTGACGGTGATGATAGTGTGAACTTTGATAAGCGATGATAACAGCGGTGACGGTGGTTGTGCCTGTGCAGAGCAGGACGTTGGTTCATGTTGACCGTGATGATGATTCTGATGATGATTATAATCATGTTGGTGCTGCTGGTAGTGATGACGGTGTTGATGCTAGTTACGATGGTGATGAACATGATGTTGGTGTCGTTATTGATGGCGCTGATCGTCGTTGCATGAAGACTTCAGCTTGTCACACAAACGCACACACACACACGCACATCCCCATCACTCCATCCGTGGCAACAGCATCAACATCAGCAGCATCACCAGCATCATGATCGTCATAATAACAACAGTAATGACCCATAACAATAGGAATAAGCATCATCAGCATCGCCGTAGTCGTCATCATCATCATCATCATCATCATCATCATCATCACCGTCGTCGTCATCAGCATCAGCATCGCCGTCGTCGTCGTCATCATCATCATCATCATCATCCGCATCATCATCATCGTCATCGGATCAGCCATACACTCGATGATCAACTAAGGTAGCGAGCGAATAAAGACACACCTCAAAAACCGTAACAAAGTACAGATGCATGTCCATTCTACTGGACATGCATGCGTTGTACTACTTATCAAGATTGCTACCAGTACGACACCCCTCGCGAGGAGTTCGGCAAGGCTCTTGCCACCCTTCGCCGGGATCCTTATGGCCGTCTTCCGCAGAAGCAGGCAGAGGCACACGCGAGGATAAAGCGCAGCGCATGTGCAATGCGTCGATTTGGAGATCGGGCTGTGCGATTCAAGTCTCTGACATCGATTTTCCATCAGCTGTTTACTCGTATGCAGAGGCAGCATGTTCCCCTTTTGCCCTAGCTCGGCAGGGTTTGCCAACGTCGTGACTTTGCAACAGAGGCGATCGTGGCTTTCTTTGCTGCGACGCAGCCCTCCGAGAAGGATGTGCACTTAGTTAGGACCCCCTTCGCCTAGTTTGGGCTATAGGCACCACTAGCGCACCCCCATATCCCAACCTAAGTTACCATCCTAGGAATACTCCCAACATCCCTATCCAAGTGCCATAGCCCAAATAGGCGAGGGGTTCCTTATAGAATTTGGGTTAAGGGTTGGGGTTAAGGGTTAAGCATTTGCTTAATCTTCTCGGATTCTCCAAGAATGTTACAACTACAACGTAATTAATATATAACTGCCTATGTATTATGATTGCACTATTACACTATAACTATGCAGTTACTGGTTTCAAGTGCGGTGGTTTGTTAAAATGTCTTGACCACATCTGAGGCAAGTAGCAAGAACGTCAAGTAGTACAACAATAATGTTCTTGCCGTTTATTTCTCCAAACCCTGAACCAAATTCTATAAGGAAACCCTCGCCTATTTTGGGCTATGGCACCTAGGTAGGGATGTTGGGAGTATTCCTAGGATGTAACTTAGGTTGGGATATGCGGGTGGGCTAGCGGTGCCTAAAGTTTTAAAGCCCAAACTAGGCGAAGGGGGTCCTAACTCACTTTTGGTGAAAACTCCGCAACATCTGGCACCACCATGGCTTTCTCTCTAAAGAGAGCGTCTGCCATCCTCGCACAGTCTTTCGCATAACATACATAGGCTTCCTTCCTGATCCGCGGTCTGCAGCCCTATCTAAGCTCGATGAGACAGTGTCAACAGCCGGGTTGCCCCTGCATCGCCAGTAGAGGAGCGTTTGGGATGGAGCTTCTCCGAGGAGCTGGATTCTTTTACCAGGCAGGACGTGCCACTATCTACCGGCTAGCTTGACGTTTCTACAGCTCCTGTCAGGATACTGCCGTATGTGATCTGTGCATTCAATGCTATCGACCGTGACTGCGACGCGGTGGTTTCGGATGAGGACCGCGCCAGCTGTAATGCGACGATCATCAAGTTTGCAGAACTTGTCACCCAGCCTTCGACTCTCCAGGAAGTGACGTCCTGGTTGCAAAACCCGCAGTTGGAGCAAAGAGTGGAGGACCTTTGAATTGGTTCATCGAAATTTCTAGCGGGTGTTTGTTTCGGCATCCATGCGTCAGGAGACGAAGTGGAGTTTCACAGAACTGAAGAGTGTCGAGGCCGTCGAACGTCGCGTTGGGACATAGAAGAAGGATCAGAAACTGCTGTCGGAAGCCTCCTTGTCATGAAGCTGCACCCACCCCCTGTCCCCCAGGCTTACGGCCTCAGTCCCAGTCCTCAACGAAAGCTTAGAATCCTAGAGCCCATCGACTGTCCCCTTCTACTGGCAAGCACGTCGTGGAGATTGGCTTTCTGAAAGATCGCTGAGCCCTGACGACTTAGAGCAAGCCGAAAGGCCCCAAGCACAGAAATATAGGGGCCTGAATAATTCATGCCTATACTAGTTTTGGCGGTTCCATATTAAAGTTATGTATAATATTCCCCAAAACCGTATTCTAAGTATTAAGGCCCCTATATGATAGAACCCTTATAGTAACCCTTATAGAACCCCTTAAGGATCCCTCTAAAGGAGCCCTATTCTAGGTATTAGGGGCCCTTTTTTAGCTGCAGGCGAGCCTGCCAGCGCTCTGCGTCTCTGGACTCTCGGGGCCGCAGGGCCTAGCAGCACCCTCGGACCTTGAGACAGTTTAGGCTTTAGGGTTTAGGGTTTAGGCTTTAGGGTTTGGGGTTTAGGCGTTAGGGTTTAGGGTTTAGGGTTTAGGATTTAGGGTGTAGGTTAAATGGGGCTGGGAGGATTTGATCGTTGGGTTATCCCTCAGGGTTTCTATGTGGGTTTCTAACTACACAGGGTTTTCGCACGAACTTTCAGAACATTAGCTACTTTGTGCAGGGCGTCATGCATAGGTTGCTGTGAGGGTTGCGAAACAAGTCTTCTTCTGTTGTGTTTGCGGGGCATCGGGAATCCACTCCTGTTTTGCTGACCTTATGGCCAGCTAGTCAGCGATTTGTTGTCTGCCATGCTTGCTTCTAACCTGGGTTCGATCGGACCAGTGACGCCATCTTCGTGGTTAAACCGTAACAGATAGCTTCAGTAGACGTATGCGTCATAACGTCTAACTACCCATGTCATGAATCTTTTAAGCAAGCGCATGTGGCCTTAGCCTGAGCGCTTGCGGCTTGAGCTTCACAGGCTGATGCCAAGAACACATGATCCCAACATGTCGCTATCCGAGCGGCGACAGCTGCAAGTGTCGCATAGGCCTTCATCATGGAGCACATCAAGAACTTCCATTTCGAGGCCTTTGCAGTGGCACTGTGCCAGAGGATCGGAGGTGTGCAATTTGGAGTTTGCCGGTCGAGTCTGATTCTGGTGCTGGTAGTTTGTATGACTATCGATACCAAGCACGATAGTCTTGCTGATTAGTGATAGTTACTGACGCTTTTGATGGCGACGGCTTCTTTGCTTGATAGTTATGCTTCTGATGGCGACAGTTGTTGTGCACATGCTCACGGTGAAGAGAACAGGAACAATTGCATTATTGATGCGGTTAGTGCTGCAGACAAGATAGTGGAAGAGTCCTTTGCGATAATTATCATAATCATTGCATCTTGTGCTTTTTGGTTTTAGTTTGTCGTTCTTCTGTTCGTTTATGTTTTGCAGCAGCCTGAAGCAACACGTTCTTCCGCAGTGCCACCAGGATGGTGTGCCCAGTATGTCACTCCGCGATTTCGTCCTGGCATCGATGAAGGCACCAGGGGGAAGGAGGAAGCGCGTGTTTGAAGGTCATGTGGTCTGCTGAGGCTCAGGCTCCCCAGAACCCCACCCGGGCCCCAATCTACTTGTGATTGCATTCCTGTGAAGCCTCCCAAGTCGTCATCTGAAGCTGAATGTCCCGTTGGCGATGTAAACGTAAGTCCGATCCACATCTCCAGGTCTTCACGGAGCTGCACGTTCGGGTGGGTAGTAGATGACATCCTCGTAGTTTGAGGCAGCCAGACGTTTCGAAGCGAAGCTGCCTCGCGCCTAGCGGCTAAGCCGCCAAGCTGAAGAGGATCTTAACTTGAGGTCGAAATCTTGCTAGAGCCAAGAAGGGTAATCGATCGAGACCCAAGTTCAGAGCTCAGAAATGGATCTTTGCGAGAGCCGGTGAGACCGACATGTCAAGCATGCCCGGTCGCCGGAAGGCTTGGCTGAGGAAAAACCATCGTCCTGACGTTCGCTCGAGTGACACAAGCAGTTTGGCCGAATCGCAGAGCATGTTTCACTTTACGGCGCCGTAGCGACTCTGGGCCTGCAGCAACCGGGCAGACTGACTTCTAATCTACTTCCCCGTCCAGCCGACATCTTCCAAAATCCGACTGTAATAGATACATCACTCTTGGCCATGACCGACTCCAAAGCGAAAGTGCCAATCTTGGAGAAGCTTTGTTCGCAGCTCGCCTCCCTCGAGCTAGAGCACTCCCTGAAAGGCGCCGAAGGGAAAGAGCCCAGGCCCCAGGTGGTGGCCGCTCCTCGCAGTGTCACGGATGTGGCGTTCTGCGTACAGGCGGGAGCAGACAGGCCTTATGCAGTCATACTCTGGTAGACTACTGTATATATATATATATATGTGTGACTATACGCTATACGGTAATTAGTCAATAGTTCTATTGTTGTTATATTGCAAAAGAATCAATCACCGCACAATGAGCCTCTAGTTACATGATAGTCAGTTTGCACTCCTTAGCTATATATAAAGCATACTATACTGATATCATATTGCTATACCACACCAGAATTCGCAGGCTGCCCAGAGCCTGTCATGCTCCGTGAGTGTCGTGGGTGGGAACCATTCCGGGTACGGCGGGCTGGGGGATTTGGTGCTGGAGATGGAGCACCACTTCACAGCGATTGCTGCAGATGTCACCAGCAACCTCGTCAGGGCGGAGGCTGGAGATATCGTTCTTGAAAAGACGATATCAGATGTATATTCTAGCTTCTCCTATAGTCTATACTTTGTTATATGATATAGTTACTAGTAGCTCAGATGCTAGGGTTTTCCAGCAGAGGCCGGCGTGAAGTTGAAGTCGCTGGCCGCCAAGGCCGCCGAATCTGAGCTTGTCGTTCCCCTCGGCACCGCACCAACGGTGGGTGTGGGCCTCATTCTTCAAGGGGGGGTCGGGCACTCTACCAGGCGTTTGGGACTTGCACTCGATGCCATCCACTCTGTCCAGCTCGTCACTGCCTCGGGGGAGGTCTTAACCTTGAGCAGCGACTCATGTGACGAGCACAAGGACCTCTTTTGGGCCGTGTGCGGCTGTGGACCCAACTTCGGTGTCGTCACCTCCCTGGAACTGAAAGCCTCGAAGCTTAAGAGCTGCCGGGCCACACGGCGCGTCTTCCGCGTGCCTTCGGAGTCCCCTTCCGAGGCCGCGTCGGTGGTGCAAAGATACATGTTACGCTCTCAGTCCCTTCCCAGGGACTGCTGCGCTGACTGCTGCCTTTACTTGGCAGACGGCTCGATACAGGTGGGGATCTACGACTTCAACCTTGGGTGCGAGGTCCCCCCGGTCGATGCTGGGAGTGCAGAGTCGGTGCTCGAGCTAGTGGACGAGGGGCTAAACCCAGTTCAACTTATGGATATTGAACCCTACTTATGTGCCTCGGCGGTTTGTCTTATGCAGCTTCTTCTCACGTTTTCTTCCCGTGCAGGCTTATTCCGATCCTGCACAGTCCCAGAAGTCGTCTTTTGATCCAAGTTCTAACGTGAGAAGAGACTTCAAAGTAGGAGTCGTGCGAGTCGCAATCGTTAGTCCGCAGTAACGTACACAGGCGAACAGCCTCCAGGCGTGGCACACCGTGGCTTTCTTTCCTGCCGGAGCTTCTTTACCCGGGCGCTTTTCTTTGGTCGTGATGCCGACATAAGCGAGGTGTTGGTGGAGAGACTGTTGAAGGCTCCCAGCCGTCACTGCTACTTCCACTTCCAGCACATGGGTGGTGCTGTGGCTGACGGGAGTAGTCTGAGCAGTGCCTTTCTCGCGAGAGATGCAGAGTGGTCACTCGTGATCACAGCTGCGTGGACCGAGGATGAGGAGGATTGCAGCTTTTGGGTCAGGGAAGTTGTGAAAGTCTTGTTGCCGCTTGCTTTGGGATGCTACGCAACAGACCTTGGCCCAGACCCGGAGGATGTCGAGCTAGCACAGCAAACATTTGGCGGAAATGCTGAGCGCTTGCTGCTCTTGAAGCAGAAGTGGGATCCCAACAACATCTTCAGACATGGCTTTCCTTTATCCCAGCTTGGCCAGGCTGCGTGATCGCCCTTACCCATATCGGAGGTCTAAAAAGTACGGCGACCGACATCAGCCGAAGCCGGAAAGGTTTTCCTTGGGCGAGATTCTTCTGTGCTTCTTTGACACGGCTGGCAGTCCAGAGTGCGCAATCCTGGCTGTGAGTATCCCTTCCATTTTCTCGCCGGCAGCTCGCAGCTGACTACAGTTTAGTATCAACTCACGAACAGCCGAATCGGAATCGTTGTAGAACATGAAGGATCGAAACTTGTGCAAACCACGTGCCCTGTAGCTAAAATAAGTTTGTTCAGCCCACGGCGTGCAAGCGGCGCATGGCTACAGAGCCCAATGTGGGAGAAGCTCCCCTGCACTCGTTCGCCGCTTACGCATCCAGATCTTGAGAGCACAGCAGCTAGCTCTAAGATGCTCTAAGTCTCAAGTCTTACCCCTCACCGGGTCCCCAGCAAAGAAAGATCAGGTCGCTTGAAGATTTTAGCAACTTCCCTCCCTTCCTTGGTGTTTGCATCAGGCTCGTGGAAGTGCAGGAGGACGTGGGCCCTAGTGCGACTTAAACAGGGACTCCGGGATTCCGAATTTCGCCTTCAGACTCGAGGATTTACAAGTACTCCACAAAGCTGAAAAGTGAGCCTAGTTACGGAGGATTTAGGACATCTTCGTGGCCGCGGAGTTATGGTACTCGTAGGTAATGAAGATCCTTCATTGGCATTGTTTGCGACGTCGGTGCCCTTGTCGTGTTCCTCCTCCTGCTTCTCCGTCTCCCCATGTATAAGTGGTGGAGCCGTAGTGTTTTCGCCACAGCAACAAGAGCATCAGCAACGGCAGCGGCGGCGCCCCAGGAACTGCGCCAGCATCGCAAGCAGTGGCAGTGGCAGGAAGAGCAAGAGAGGCAGCGGCGGCAGCAGCAGCAGCAGCAGCAGCAGCAGCAGCAGCAGCAGCAGCACCAGAAGCACATCGACACGAAGAAGAAGAAAAGCGCGAGCAAGAACAAACAAGATAAAGAGGACGAACAAAAAGAGTAGTGTAAGGGTAAGAAGAGCCAGAGAAGGCTGAAGGCTCGTAGTACAAAATAGGAACGGCATGAGCAGGGGACAACGGCCACGAAGATAGCGGGTTGGTCTACTCCAACTTGGAAAGGTGTTACCTCCGCGACAGTACGGGTCTTTAGCAACTGCGACCTCCGCATCGGCGGCCGCATCAGCAGCAACAGCATTGGCTGCAGCATCTTTCGCGATAGCAGCAGGAATTTGGGACATCGGCAGCAGCGAACAAATGGCAAGAACAAGGCGGTCATCCAAAAGTGTTGGCGAGCGTGAGAAGCTATGCCAAGCTATCCTTTGCCTATGCAGCATATGTGGCAGGGTCGGTGGTCGTCATTGGCATGCGTACCAAACCCGATAGTCTCCTCGTAACAGTCCCAGATACTCACTCGTGCCCCTGACTCGCAACGTGCAGCTGCGGCTACACTAGACCTATCTCGGGCCCAACCCTCCCTAGAACCCCAAACTAAGACCGAAAAAGCAGCCTAAAGTTCGAAAGGACCCCTAAAGCCCGATGGCCGAAAACCCCAAGAGGACACTCGACAACGAATCTGCGGCGGACGTGTGCTGCTGCGCATCCGGCTGGCGCCAGACGAGGCCGGGCTGCTACTATCCCGCCTTACTTGGAGGTTCATGGGACTTAATAAGTCCAGTTATAAGTACCCTAATTGGGGTTATAAGTATAGTACCCTAATTGGGGTTATAAGTATAGTTACCTTATCTATAACCCTAATTATTGTAAGCCCAAAAACCCTAAACCTCAAAACCCAAAAATCTAAACTTCAAAACCCCAAAACCCAAAACCCGAAACCAGCGCTCATTCGGGCTGTTTAGCGGCCTTAGCCACCAGGGCGAAGGATCTGAAGCTGAGAGAACCGAAAGAAGTAAACTAGTATAGTACAGTACAGTACGGTATAGTACCGTATCGTATATTATAGTATGGTGTAGTATGCTATATTATGGTATAAAACAGTATATATTATAGTATAGTATGGTCGAGTATGGTATAGTATCGTATAGTATAGTCTAGTATAGTATAGTGTGCCCGCAGCCGAAGCAGGTCGCCTCTCTTTCAGAGCCGGATCCCCTCTTCAGCCTGGTTCCTCGGACGGCCTATCTGCCCTTCCTCTTTCATGATGTGCTTGAGCACTTCAAGAAGTCGGCGATCGCCCGGATGGGACAGCCCTATGAGCTCTGGTTCGACTTTAACCACACGGCCTCCTGTCTCTGATTCCAGGCGTCCCGAACCCCTAAACCTCTAAACTTCAGGGTTTAGGGTTTAGGGGTTTAGGGTTTAGGATTTAGGGTTCTAAACCTCTAAACACTAAGCTTCTCCATTTCATTCCATGAGTCTTTTTGTGTCGTGTTTCAGCTGCTATGACCGTGAGTCGCAGACCGGACGTGCACTTCACTGAGGCACTGAAATGGCATTTTCCAGTGGGGGTTCTGTGTGACGCCTTGGTTGGCGTTGAGGCCTTGCACCATCGGCTTGCATCCATTCAAAATTCAAAAGGTGGTCTTGCATCCGAAGCAGGCCCATCCACGAACCCAGACGTAGGATGCAGGCATCCAGCTGCTGTGTTGGTATGGCTCTAGGGTCAGCATTTCGAGCGTGCGGCTTGGCCGTTGCTCCCCTATACCCGACCCCGATGCAAGATTCACACCTGACCGGCAGAGCATAGCCAAATGATGTACACATCGGTCGTGAGGTCCCAGTACCCTTGGATCTTACCGTCCACTTCCGTGGAAACTCGGTAATGTCCGACCTGCTGCCCTTCAGCCGCTCGGAAACAAACCCCTGACTCCGAGACTCTATTCTAGGTTGTCTGCTGGGAATGGGATTTTTGTTAAGACGGTTTCGCAGGCTTTCAAGGGCAAGCCCAGTATTGTGTCGGCTAAGCAGTAAATGCCAATGCCTGTCCTGGAACGGATTTAACCCCGGGTTGCTTGATGGAAGCAACTCGCAATCCTTTTGGAGTAGAGTCTTTGTGTTTGATGCCACAGTAAGAACACTGATACAGTGCGCATGACGAAACAAAGTAGACCCGTTGCCTTGCACGCCGTTCCGTTAACTAGGCGATCAAACAGGCACCTACGCATTAACTTGTTAAGAAAAGATGTGGCCAGCACCCCATAATTTCTTAACCCGATCGTCCCCGAATATTCCAAAGACCCAAGCCTGGTGCCCGAAAGCAGCCTTGGCCTCTCTTGCTCGCACGCATCCCCAAACCAAACAAAACCCGCACCTCCAAGCCTGAAGCTGAAGCCCCAGATGCCTTCAACCCTTGACCCCTAAACCCTAAACCCAAAAAGCCCCTAAACCCAAAACCCCTAAGCCACTAAACCCAAAACCCCTAAACCCTAAGGCCCAAACCCCTAAACCCCTAAACCCAAAGCCCCTAAACCCTAAGCCCCTAAACCCCAAACCCCTAAACCCTAAGCCCCTGAGCCCCCAAACCCCTAAACCCCTAAACCCTAAGCCCCTAAACCCCTAAACCCAAAACCCCTAAGCCCCTAAACCCTAAACAGGTGGCATGGCCGATCTGCAGAGGTCTGTGATGAATGCCTTCAAGCAGGCGATTGTAGTATAGTACATTATATGATAGTAGATCATGTTATAGTATAGTATACTATAGTATATTACAGTATATTGTAGTATATTATAGTATACTACAGTATATTATAGTATATTATGGTATGACACACATGAGAAGTTGGAGGTTTCGGTTCCTTGCCTTTAAGGCGCAAGCCCTCGAAGTTCAGGTCTTGAGTAGAGTGCGACTTCTTGGAACCCAAAGAGATGAAGTCAAGCATTCCTTCCAGTGGCGACTCCATTGCCACAGTTTGATCGAAGCCCAACTCTGATCAGCTTGGACCTGGAAACCCGAAGAAGCCACTTCGCCAGGCAATCTTCCTGGAAGTTGGCTCCGCATCGCGCTTCATGCGCCTGGAGAAGATCCCTGGCAGCGCAGTGCAAAAGCTCTACGCAACTAAGGTTTGGAGATTGCATCCTTCTCGATCGAAGCTTGAACACGTGCCGGCACCTAAGGAAAGAACACATGATGCTCTGGGACGCAATCCTTCAGAGTGACATCAAGAGCTTCTCCCAAGTGGAGGAGAAGCTAATGTGCAGCACTTTGGCAGAGTGCAAAAGTCTGGCTGTGCGTCTGCATATCTGGGCGCCTGCACACGACGACGAGGTACAGCTCAATAAGTCCACGAACATACGCTGGCAATGCTAGTATTCGTAGTATGTATGGTCGTAGTATGTAGGGAATGTCTAAAACCTCAGAAGCCCTGCAATCAGCTGGATATCCCACAGGTGCTGTTGCACAAGGCGCCGGCGAGATTCAAGGGCAAATAATCCGACGAGCGCCTGACTGCAGCAGCCTCCACGCCAAACTTGCGTGCTCCTGTGTCCGTTCTGGCTAGATGACGATGACGCTGCTGCTGCTGATGATGATGATGACGATGATGAGGATGACGTGGATGAAGTCGATGATGATGACGACGACATCGATGGCGATGATGATGGTGATGATCATGATTGCGGCGACGTCGTCGATGACTATGGTGATGAAGAAGAAGGCGGCGATATGATCATATACTGTTGGTGGTGATGAGTCATGATGTAGCATGATGTGGCGATGGTCATTTCAACGATGATGTTGGCCAGGATGACGACGGCGACTTTTACGAAGCTGTTCTTATGAAAAAGTCACAGTAGTGTCGGGTTTAGGCTTTAGGGGGCCAGCCTGCAGGCACCGGCCCTCCGTGAGTCGGGTGCGGCCTTCACATTGAGCGACTTCCTGGCTTTGGCGATGCCGCCACTGCTCAGCGCGGCCGGGGATGTCCTGGCAGAGGGCGTGGAGGCGCTGAAGTCTAGGCCTATTTGGGACTTGGGATGTGGTCGCATCAAGGGTTCAGGAAACAACACAGCAGTGCAAGTAGCTGCACATGCTGGCTCAGCTTGGGGGAGAAGTGGGGGAGGGGAGGTGGGGCGGTAGACGACTGTAGCCTCTGGAGGCTGGCGACTGCAGGGGTATTTGGGTTACAGAACCCTATATCGGAGTCAGATTCTTGGATGCTTGCATTCTACTCATATCCACGAGAGATCTCTTGTGCATGGGCATGCAGAGAGCAGTAAGTTGCATAGACGGCAAGGTGCTGACACAGGGCCTGATGCTTGGCCTGCATTGGCTTCGTCGGATCTCTCTTGGGACTTAGAGCCTTCACTGTCGGCCTGCGAGTGGTTTGTTAAAAAAATGCGGTAGCTATCAGACGTTAGTAGTTTTGCCAGCATCGTTATTACTAGTACGATTAAAAAGCTATGTTGCTGTTGCAGATTATGCAACTCTCCTTTCGGTGAATTCATGGTTTGCGGTGCCTGCTGAGGATAGTTCCACTGGACACGCCCTTGTTCTGGCTGGCCCTACACGCCAGCTATCTGGACCACTTTGTGCATCTGATCCTTGTCTCCATCAGCAAAAACTTTCCCTAAACCCTGTATAAGCCCTAAGTTCCATCGGCATCTAGCCGTCTGGCCGCAACGGGATGCCTATCTCTCCCACGTCATGCACGCGGGAAACCCCAAGGCCCCTAAGATCCTGGACTCAGGATTGCCAGGGTGCCGGACAGCTTTCTGAAACCCCAGGAAAGCTCCTAGAGCCGAGGAGACATCCTAGGAACCTGATGGTGCTGGCCGTCTGTCCGTCTGTGCAGACATGCTGTCTGCGAATGCCACGAGGCCAAAGGCAGAAAAGCCCTGCTGTACATACGTTCTCCCCGATTGTGGTGATTACTGTCCTGCCTGTAGCTTCGTATGTTTGGCAAAGTTGGCTATACTATCCGTCGGAAGGCAAGAACAAAGCTACAGGCATTGTGCAGAGTGAAAGCGCCGTGCTGAGCGATGCTGCGGAGGAGAAACGCCTTGCTCTAACACTTCAAACACGCACGTGCAGGTTTTTAGAGAAGGTATGCAGAGTCCAACGCTTCAAGTCCCTGGCGCTTTTGAATTTGAATGAAGCACACGTGTGTTGCCCAAGCATAAGCGTTGAGTCATAACAGCTCGCACTACCCACCAAGTCGTAGCTAACGCCTACCCCTTCAGACCTACGCAGCATGTAAACGTACAAGTCAATGCCCCTCGCAGCTGAAGTCTGGGCAATCCTCAACGCCGGAAGACTGAAAAGAGGGCAGACAAATGTAAGGACCAGGGTCATTGAAGAACTTGTGGCCCTCCCCGTGGTGCCATATGCTAAACTGCTAAACCCTAGACCCTAAACCCTAAACCTTCAACCCTAAACCCTAAACCCTAAACCCCTAAACCCTAAACCCCCTAGATTGCCGATGCCATGGCCGAGTCAGTCCTATCCCTCAGTCGCAGGTGCGCCGTGCACGGAAGGTCCTGGTCAGACGTGGCACTGAGGTCCGAGCCATGGGATTGGCTGATGAGACCGAAGACGGAGACCAGACGGAAAAGGACGATCTGGACGAGGAGGAGGAGATCAAAGGGATCCCTGCATCTTTCCAGTCATTCATCAGCCTGCCCTGGAGAGCAAAGAATGTCTCATGTGAGAGTGATCACCTTCTTCCCTGTCCCTAAGACTGATACAGAGACACGGCCTGTGTTCAGAGGCATCGAGAGCCTCCAGACCCGAAGCTTCTGAAACCTGGAGCCGGGGGCCCCACTGCATCGGCCAGGAAGATTTGCGGAAGAACCCGCCCCTGCCTGGCTATGTGGATCACCACTGCACCGCTCCACTCTTAGCGGCAGTGTTCGTTCCTTGAAGGCGAGGGGGTGATTATGAGTAGGGTAAGTTAGGTTTATTAAGCAGGTGACTACAGTCATATCCCCTCCCCCGTGAGAACCTTCAGTTCACGGTCGGCCGCCAAGGATATACCCTTTCTGATGCTCTTCTTGTTGGCGACAGCAGGCTGGCAAGCGAATGTTCCAAGGGCTATCGCAATCGCTCTTAGCACCAAACCCAAGACACATTCTCAGCAAGATCATGTCACTCCGTTGGTCTGCATAATTGCACTCAGCTTTCAGCTGCATGCCCCAGCAGACGCCTGGAAGGAAATCTGAAAAGGAGATCTGGCCGTGCCAATGGCTAGCTCATGTTGAATCGTTGGCATTCGCAGGCTTCGTGAGATGTCTTCGTGCATCGCACATCGTGTCGCAACTTTGCACGTCAATGCTTAAGCTTGTAGGCTGGGGGATGCTAGGCATTTGCTAAACTGCGAGCAGGACATCGATCTCTGCTGACTCTAAAGCCCTCAGCCCTCAACTCCCAAGCCTATGAACCTGAAGTGACTCCAAACTCAACTACATGCTGTGGACGCCTCTTCTGCCTAATGGCAGGCATTGGCTGGATCAGCTACGATGCCATCCAGCACGGCAACATACATAAGCTCGGGCACGGGTGCGCTGCCTTTGGAATATTGGGCAAGAAAGCAGGAAAAGAGTCACGGTAATGAGAACGAGGAGATCACTAATGCTTCTGCATGCTACTGCCAGGATAGTACCGATAAGTATAGTCCGGACCTGCAGCTTGTCGCCAGCATCTCCGCTGATTCTTACACTGGGAAGCCCGAATGGTAGTACCCGTAGAAGCAGCATTTTCGCTGATCGCGGCTTGATGCTCCATGATCTCACAGGAGTGTTGAGGGCCCTTCATATACCCTGCAAGGCAGGGTGACATATCAGGAGTGTTCCAGTATGTTTTTGTGCCGCCAACCCCGAGTTCGCTGCCAAACTTTCCACTCGAAAGCCTCAATCTGCAAAATTGCCCTAAACCCAAAACCCTAAACCCTGAACCCTAAACCCTAAACCTAAATAGCATGGTCAGGTACAAGGAGGCCATGGAAGTGTGCCGAGCCGGCCCTGCCATGGATTCTGAGACTGTAAGGGTTCGTAGCATCGCTCTCATCGGTCTCCATGTCCTCCTGCTACTGCTACTGCTTCTGCTACTCCTACTGCTACTACTACTGCTGCTGGTACTGCAGCTGCTACTACTACTACTACTACTACTACTACTACTACTCTGCTGATGCTATTGCTGCTGCTACTGCTACTGCTCCTGCTATTACTACGACGACGACGACGACTACTACTGCTCCAACTACAGCCACTACCGCTACACCACTGCTACTACTACTACTACTACTACTACTACTACTAATGATAATCATAATAGTACTGCTAAGAGTATGCCTGGAATCATAATCAAGTGCAGTACAATTGCAGGCCCCCTCATTTCATCATTCGTCAGTGCTCTTATGAAAGAACCTAAATTCACAACAACCTCAAAACACCCCTCAAGGAGTCATGAAGCTAACATCGGACAGTATATCGCCACTACAAGTTGTAGACTCTTCATACCGCAACACTTGTAGCATAAGTCCGCCCGGTCACAGACAAGCGGCTTATGAATCCCCATTCCTGGCTCAAAAAGTTTTAGGAAACACGGTCCGTGCTTCCTTAACCGTGGCAGTGGAACAATGAACTTGCATTAGTACCAAAGCCCTTTCACTCAAGAGCCACCAAGACCAGCATTTTGGGGTCTTTATAATAATAACCCTACTATTTAGGGTAACCAAAATTAGGGTCCCCGACTTTTCGGAAACCCCCATAACACAGGAACTGCATACAACCGAGTCTCCTACCGAATCCGCTGAAAACTGAATGGATTACTTGAAAGGCGAGGGTGTGAGCCCTAAGCCCTCAACCTAGAGCCCTCCAAGCCTAAACCCGTCCGGCCTGCAGCCCTGCGACTGTGCAGCCTGTTGGCGAAGAGCTTCGGTTTCAGAGTGGGTCTAATACAGGAGCCTTAAGATTTGGCAGTGTTTTGTATTCCTGTGCAAGCCCGATGTAAGTCTGCAGCACACTGTACGCCAAAGCCCCATGCTAGCTATCAAGGTTCCTATACTAGGGCTCAGTGCTCGAGGCTCAGCCTTCAGCGACAAGACTCAGTTCTCGATTGCGTGGTGTGCTTGGGGGTGTAGTTTGGACAGGTTCAGCCTGGTTCAGGATTTACGGCTTACCGTTTTGGGGATCATGGGCATAGAACTGATTGAGCCGGCAAGTGTTTTGCTGCATCCTCTGGCTCCGCAACTTTCAAACCCCTCGCTGGAAAACCCAAAGCTCAAAGCCGTCAAACCCCAATGCCCTAAACCACGCCATGAACCCTGGATTAGGTTAGGGGTTCAGGGTTTTAGTGTTTAGGGTTTGGGGTTTGGGGTTTAGGATTTAGGGTTAAGGGTGTAGGGGTCTAGTGTGAGGGAAAGGGTTCAGGGCTGAGGGCATACCCTAACTGGACCCTCACATGTATGTCATTCTTTCGGCGTATTCAATATGCTATTGCAACTCCGAAAGACAATCAGGATAATAACGGGGCGATTCAGGAAGGATTCAGGAAGGCTTATAGGGTTGAGGATAATGTAAAGGCCTTAATAATTAGAATGGGGCTCTGGGCATATGATACCATAATCATAATGAGGAACTTCCAAAACAGTATAGGTAACTATGAAGGCTCCTAGAGTATGCTCGCTTCACAGCCTCCGTACCCTCGAGCTCCCCACATCCCAGAGTAGGCTTTATTCAACGACTTTAGACCCCCCCACCCCCTGTATTCATTAATTCTGCAACCCTGTGCCCCTATGTACTCAAGCGAGTACCGTGTTGAGGCATGCGGGTCTACAATCAAGCTTGGTATCGTGGAAGCAAGGTAAGAACTTAGAACCTGCCCCTGACCGGCACTTTACCAGCGTTGGTCAAGCTTAGCCCATCCTCAAAACACCTCCAGTCTCCACTTTGTTATGGTTTCGATATCTTGGTACGATGCATATGTATGTGTATATATATATATGCAGAGGTATATCCGTTCATGTATTTATACAGTTACATAAACAAATGAACAAATACATATGGCGAGAGACACCCAGAAAAGCGAACCAACAACGCCCATGGAGGGGGTGGGTGGGTGGGTGGGTGGGTGGGTGGGTGGGTGGGTGGGTGGTTTGTAAGCTACTGTTGCTCTGTGAGTGGAGTAGTTGGTCTTATAGAATCTTAAAGGTATAAATGAGATGAGTAATATTTTTGCCATAAATACATAAATTAAGATATAAATAAACAAATAAATCTATGTATATATATATATATATGCATGTACATGTGTTCGTTAGGTATATATATATATATATGTACAAATACATACATACAAATATAGAAAAACGAAGAACTATGTGTCATACACACAAACCACCAAACATCGATGAATACAGTCGGAGTGGAGGCATGGTTCTTGCGGTTCTTGGCAAGTTACATGCTATGCTTAGTGGGGTTTGCTTGCGACTATTACTATTATGTCAGGGTGCCACGGTGCCGACTACCTAACCGCGAAAACTATCCAATCGTAACATACTGCCACGGTCCCGCAGCTATGTGACTTGCGCATCCTGCACAGCCTATCACTGACAAAGTCTTGCATCCCATACAGTGTCCAACCAAAAACACAAAACCTGAAACCGTACAGCTACGCAGCTCTGAAACCTATAGGGGGCATCTGGAAGAAAGGGTCACTTTATAGGGCTCTTATAATGGTAACCCTGAAAGAAGCCTTGACAAACTTGAGCTGATCTCCACCACGGCCGCTTGCAACATCC